TCGATGGACAATCGGCTAGGTAGTATAGTACTGTACAGTAGCTTAGTCAAAGTTATATTCTACAATGGGCTTTTGTTAAAATACACATGTCTCTATCACATACTTGGTAGCAGAAGACCCTTGCAATCGTGCAGGGAGCTATATTCACATGTGTTACGACTGTGTCATAACTGTGTCACAATCCGACGGTCCCCGAGAATACTACAGTCTATCGATGTTCCAAGTTATTGATCAAGTCATCATTTCGGCAAGCTTCGGAACACCAACACTGACATATACCTTCACAGCAATCAAACCCCATTTATGCCCCTGTCAAAATATACTCGTACCATCTGGTTATGCTTTGATACATCCCTTTTCATTATGATGATCTGTTTTACTCTATGTTTCACATATGCCCATATATACTTGTAGCCCGTGGACTATTCCCTTTTCTCATAATCCCGCTCTCAGCTAAATCTCAGCTTCTGATCTTATTGTAACCTTCCAGTTTCTAGTCAAGTCTATTTGTCAAATAGTGTTTCCACTCTTCCCTTAGTTAGTAGTTTCTAGATGCCAATAACTCTTATATAGACCCACTGTAAATGTAGTTACTGGACAATCAGAATATCAACTTAGATCAACTTAGATACCCCTCTAATTTCCGACTCCATTTTCTATTCACGACCACCACATTTCGACTCCATCCGATTTATGATTCAGCCTACATTGACAACTTCAACCTCTAATCTCCAACTCTCTCAGTCTCTGACTCTCCCAGTCTCCAACTCTCTCAGTCTCCGACTCTCTCAATCTCTGACTCTCAGTCTCTGACTCTTGGTCTCCGACCCCTCAGCCCAACCCTCGACTTATCCTTCGGTTTCCGATCGGTAGTTTACCAAGAGGTTTACTCGACAGGACTAGTTTCTGCCCACCTGAAATTTAAGGACACCTGATGGTAATTTGCAAGGGCGCAGCACATAAGCTGAAGCCAAGTCCTTCCGTTCAGTCCCTGTCAGTCCCCATTGGTCTACTGACATCAGTCAGTTTTCTGTTCTTAACAACATGTAGCTATGTACATAAATAAGAACAATAGAATGCTGTATGGGAAAGACAATGGGAATGTAAAAAGGGGAAATAATGGAACAATAGGGGAAGGGAAGAAAGGAACATGAGCTTGGATGATGCTCGAAATCCAACAGCTTTGTCTCCCCCCAACTTTGAACTTCTATATAGCTCTGGATACACATGTTTGGTACTTAATGGCTAGTCCCATAATTCTTAAACATATTTCACATGCTTGGTAAAAGAAATATATACCTGTGGTTCGATGGGAACTGCTGGTAGGAAGGAGCCAATGAGTTCATGGGATAAAAAGATTGCCTCAGGTAGGAATTGAACCCACAAGCTTAATGGTCCTACCTGGGAGGAGCAACTATATGAGTCTAATGCTCAACTGACTAAGCCAACAAGGCGTTGATTGCATTCTAACAGATACTGAACAACAACACCACTGGTGTAACATTCTACATTTGAGTCTGCTGTTTTTTTCTACATTTCAGACATTTGTCATACTGCACCTTACTTTTGTTGTACAAGTTTTTACAGTGACAAAAGGAAAAATTCATAATACTAAGTCAATAAGGTAGGGGCCATGAGAAACTGGCCACCTTATGTAATCATATATAAGTGCCAAGAGTGGCAAAATGTTGGGTTTGGGAGAGAAAAGAAAATTGGAGGAATGCATCAAAACAAATAAAATTTAGGCTACATTAATTTCCTGACCACCGTACTTCACCTCATGCTCTTTTTTGAGCTTCAAAGCCATATCTGGTGGCAGTGTGTGATGGCCATGATATTTGTGATTTGCCCAAGCTGCCTCTGGACTGGTCAAGCCTTGGCCATAGGCACTGATAAAGCAAGCTGCACGATTGGCATACCTGAGAAGATGACAGATAAGACACATCAGTAACTTGAAACAAGGAAACTTGAGTCCAAGGATTCAGGCAAAGAAGCTCACCTTTGAATCTGGACATGTGGCACATTGTCGAGACATTCTCTCACATTCCTTTCCATTTCCTTCATGTCTGTCATCTTCACAGTGTTCCTGTAAATCAACTTTGCTGCTCCCCAATATTGCTCAATGAAATTGAGCTTGCAGTGGGACTTGGGGTAGATATCACAAATGTGGCCTCTTGATGCAATTAGTTCCTCAAGGAGAGATTTTTGGTTGACGAAATCAGGCTGTGTGTATAACACTTGACGACAGTGTTAAGTGCCGTGTTGGGAACTTATTCCAGAAACTATTGGAAAGTCACTGGGAAGTCGGGAACTATCGGATAGGGTCAGGATGTTGGCTTCAGCTATGTGCTGCGCCTCTATGCAAACGCTCAAAGTCCTTAATTTCAGAGGTGAGACTTATGATTGAAGATACGGATATTCAGAGTTCCAAAGAGTTCTGAATATCGAGCATACAGAAAGACAGGAGAGGGAATAAGAAACTAAGTTGATATCATATCTAAGGTAAAGTACAAATTCATGGAAACTAATATAAGTCTTCTCGTTATTGTACTACAAACTGAGACCATAATAAGACAGAAATGGAAGTATTCTTAAAACAGGAATACAATAAGACATATCGGGGAGACAATATTCCGAAATGGGAATATAATAGAAAAACAAGGGAATACTTGTCAACGGACAAATTACCAAATGTGGAACAAGGGAAGAATGTGGAAGATACGGTAACTATGATGTTCCATAGTCAGAGATCGGAAGTTGGATATTGAAACATCCGGGAATGGGTCATAACAGACAGCAGCAATCTGTCTTCCCCCACTACACATTTGAAACCATCACATTGTGCATTCAATCCTCTCTGTGGCCAAAGCCCACATTTGCAGATGATGGTTTCCATCCCCTTGAACCACCCTGGCATTGTTGGATGGTCTGCAGGGAAGTAGAAGTCTTGGGGGGTGTTATCAGCTCCAAAGGTTGTTGACTGCATTTTTGGTCCATCTTTGTAGTGTTGCCATGTCACATGTGGATTTTTTGGCATCTTCCATGCAGAGAGTGCATCTTGTGCTCATTTCTAGTGGCTGGGGGCATTGTTAAACAGAAAAAGGCCAGTCACAAAACAATTTGTCTTCGCTTCAAAAATATCAATCGCATTCTCAACTTGTTGAGGCAGATCTTCCCCATCAAAATACCTATCTCTGTTCTTCCCTGCTTTTAAAGAACACATGTGCCTCGCTAAATTCAATGGTGAGTCCCACAACTGCCAGTGCATGAAACAATTCCCACTCTTCCCCATCGATCAGCCATCCCCATTCAGACATTAAAAACTACACCATGACTGACTGCCCCTCACCCTTTTTTTCCACAACTGCCTTTGCATTGTCATTGACCCATACATCAAGCTTTTTCTCTTTGGCTTTGACAGTAAGTTTGGCTTGTGCACGGCACAAGGCCAGAAAGTCTTTGTGACTTAATCCATTGAGAATTTCACCTGTGGTAGTTTCAGGGCTGTCATTGTGAGGGTGTTGACCATTTCTGAGCTGTCGAAGATGCTCCTCAACAGCTTTCATGCAGCTGATGATCCTCCTTCATCTTCTGCTCCAAGTTTTGAAGAAGACTTGGAAGAAGATGTCTATTGAACATTTATGAGCCTCCCCTTTTTCAGTTTTTAGCTTTCACAGACTCATGGGGCTCATCCCAGGGAACAACTGGTGCAGAGATGCATCAATCTCGTCCTCTCCTTCACCTTCACTATCTGAGGGATCTGAATCCTCAGAAATTTCAATGATTTCTGGTGCATCATCCCATTGCAACTCAGGTGTTGGGCTGGGTTTCCTTCCCTTTGAAAACCATGACCTAATAAATTTTTGACTAGTTGTTGCAAGCTGTCGACACTTCTGAGCATGATATCACAGGGTATGATTTGAGTTGCCTGTATAGTGTTGTTTATGCTTTTCACCAATTGCCTCACATTCTGCCTTCACTGCCATGGCCTGAGCTATGAAAAGAATGGCATTGAAATGCTCAATCTCTGCCTTGTTTACATGTCCATCAAGCTCATCTTCATCCACCTCCTCATCCTCACTGTCAGAGCCATCAGAGTCCTCCTTGGATTGGGTTCCATCATCTAGGAAAAAGAATCCATGCTCGAGTAAGTTCTCATCTTCAAAACCCTCATCTTCAACAGATGGATTTTGGTGTTTGTCAAGCTTTCAGAGGTTATCACATCAAGCCTTGGATTGTCAGCCCATGGTTATGTGTGCTTTTGGTGTGTTTTTGGCCTGATATTCAAGGTTTTTCATGGTTTGGGGAGCTCATTCCTTACTGGCTGTAGGTCATGTGTTATTATTATATAAGCAGCAAAATATTTGTGACCAAAATTTGAACTTTTCCCCTCCCATTGTCAAATGAGGTTTTGGAGCATTTGGAGGCATTTTCATGGAAATTTCATTTTTGGGAAATATCTAAGTTTTAAAGACATATTTTAGGAAAGTAAAAGTGGGGAGTTGAAGGAATACATGCTCCTTATTATCCCTAGCTACCAAATTGGAAAAAAGTGTTGTGTTGTGGATATTATTGAGGTCACTGTCAAGCAGGATTTTGGTTTACATAAGGTGGCTGGTTCCTCATGGCCCCTACCTTATATCTTGGGGTGCAGACTTTGAACTTCTATATAGTCATGCATGTTTGGTACTTAGCAGCAAGCAGAGTTACTCCAACCATTACTGCTGCTATGTTGGAATTTATTCATATAGGTTGCAAGAGTATGTACAGTCTTGCACTCTTTTTCAAATACGCTCGGCTATGTAATACATTACAGTAGCTTAGTAATACAAAATAAACCCTGTCCATATTCCAGTGTAATGAGTCAGCAGTGAGAGAAATAACGGGTTACCTGAATCTGATGCTAATACTTGTGAAAGATTTTCCATTGTTTGTGCATAAAGCAAAGGGGTACACCTTAAGTGTCTGCAACCCTGTCCAGACACTTCTTTGGGTCCCTTTCTCAATTGAATCCCATCTAACCCTATTATTTGCCAAACATGCCAAAACATCATAAATTATATATAACATTGACCCCAGCTCACAGAAATGACATGGGCAATACTCTCTCTCTTCCTTTTACTCCCATGAGATTGCTCAAGGGCCCTTCCAAGGAGGAGCCTCGATTTCAGTGATGGTCTAGCCAGTATCCGGCTGTGACTGCTTCAGCTTCTCAACTCTATGCTGAAACTGTGCACAGGAGTTGAGTGTTCATCTTGGTTGTTGTAGTTGCTATCCTCTGCACCGTCTGTATGATCCTATCATTCTCCCATATCTTTCAACTTGTCACACAGGCATAAGTACCTTCATATGTGATCAATGCCAGTAAAGTCTGTCTGGGAAACAAGAGCTTATTAGATGCCAATGTGCACACTATAGATTTAAGTTTGGACAGGAGACTAACTATTCATTTGACCACACCGGTGTGTCGCCGACAGCCTAAAGTCGATATTTAGGCAGCTTCCCTTTCTATTTAAATCTACAAAGAGTGAGTATTAGGTATGTACGGCTTGAAGGAGTCGCCGAAACATGAAAAACCCAGGAATTGTGTGTGAGTCCTGATGCAGAGATTCCACTTTTTCAAAGAGTCCTTCAATTTGTTCCTCCTGGATCTGATATTGGCTTGATTCCTGAAACAAACTAAGAGCTATGAAGAAGAATATGAGCAGCCACCGAGGAGTCCACATTAGCATGCCATACATGTGGGAATGTAGTTTGTCTTGAGTTTGGTTATTTTTTGAAAAAAAATCTATATTCATTATCTCCTTGGGTTCATTATGTAAAAAAAGCTGATGGCACAGCTATTGACCTTTCAGAGATTTAGGTTAGTGAGGGATTACGAGCATTAGGGCTCAGGTTGCTGCAGTTGAAAATTACCGTGTATTTCATGTTACATACATGAGGTCTATGTGTTTTTGGTTATCCTTATCTATTTACAACGAGTACTGTCACCCCAGTCAGACAAACACAAAGTTATACAGTCTAGGAGCAGCATGACGAAAACTTCAACAGCAGCACTATAAGGCTGTCAGTATCAGCCTCACTCGGTCAATGCACACAGGACTAAGTTTTCTTCATTTTCAAATATTAGTAGGATACAAGGTGAATGTGAGGTTCCCTAGGGAAGAGTGGGGAAAGGATTAATGGTTGAAGAGGAGATTCATTCTATCACTATAGGATATGGGTTTTTATGTAGTCAAGGTGAATGTGGTGGGAGAACAAAGAACTGCATGATCAGGCACAAGGGTGCTACTTAACAATCAAGTGGCGGAACAATGAGTGGTTGATGGGAGAGGTTGGTGATGATGTATGTGGTAAGGTGGCCAGGCTTACAAGCACCCTAGTTAGATTTGTCACCAGTTGCACTACAGAAGAAGGCCACCTTTAGTTGCAGTGTTGAGATAGCATAGCATAT